GTCCAGCTGAAGGACTGGAGCTCATAACAATGCCTCCCATGAGTCCAACTGGAGGCCCAGAGCCCATAACAACATCTCATCCAGGCCTATTTCATGGATCTGTGCTGGGAAGGCCCAAAGGTCAGTGGTGGAATTTAGAAAGTCTGTGCTGGTGGGATGAAGGATTTGTGCCAGCAGGCTGAGGGATCTGCACTGGAGCTAGGAAATGATGTGTAAGTAAGAACCAGAGCTCACCCAAAAGGCACCACAGCCATCCTCAGCAACACTGAGGTCCCGAGCTCCTCCCATGATCAAGACGGTCGAGTTCCCATCAGGAAAGCCAACGCAGCGAGCTTCTTCAGGAGACTGAGCTGTGCACCTTCTTCCCCACCAGAGCCAGGAAGCGATGCTCAGAGTGACGACCAGAGCTCTCCCAAAGTGAACTGAAGCTATTCTCAGTGCCAACAAGATCCTGAGCTCCTCGGAGGATGAAAACAGCCAACTTCATCAGGAAAGCCAGCATGACGAGCTCCTCCAAAACAACCAACAGCTCCTTACAGCTTCTACCAGCTCCAAACAGCCTTTCAGTTCCCAACAGCATCCTCCTTCTCCGGTTCTGCCTCTTATGCTGTTGGCAACAGTCCCTAGGTGGGCCTCCCACACCCAGCACCACGCTTACTCAGTTCAGCTGGGGGTTAAAAGTTGACCACCACTTGTCAATCCACTATATGTGGTAAAATACATTAATTGATTTCTGAAGATTGTATTTTGTCATGGCATATTATCGTTTTGTATATTATTGATTTGATTTGATAAAATTTATACTTGTGAGAGAAACTGGCTTTAAAGAAGGTTAACCTCCTAGCATATGTTGGGCGAGTAATTCACTTCTCTACAAATTTTTGGAAAGTTTGTGTAGAATTGACACGATTTCTCCCTGAAATATGTGAAAGAATTCACCTGTGGCAATCTAGGTTTAGTGTTTTTGTGTACGGTTTTTAATGATCAATTCAACTTTTTTAAAAGATGTAGTGTTCATCAAATTGTCTATTCCTTCCTGGGTGGCTTTGGTAATTAGTGTCCTTTCAAGAAACTTCTCTATTTCATCTTAATTTTCAAGTTTATTGGCATACTTCTGTTCATAATAGTCTCTCATTATACTTTTAATATCTGAAGAGCCTGTAGAGTCATACCTCTTTCCTTCCTGATAGTGGTATTTTGTGTCTTCTTTTTTCCCTGATCATTCTGGCTGGATCTTCTTTGTCTGGTTAATTGAAGAGGAAACCAAAGTCATCAACCTAACAAACTTCTTTCCTAATATCGTGCTTGCTACCGCTTGGGTGTGGTTTGTCTTCCAAGGGTTGGTATTTTGGAATTTTGGAAATGTGAGAAGTGGTGGGACATTTAAGGGATGGAGTTCAGTGCAAGCTGCTTGGGTCACCAGAGGCATCGCCCTTGGAAATAATTAAGTCCTTCTCATGGGACTACAGTCTGTTTCCACAACAGAGGTATTATAGAAGGGCAAGCCTGAACTGTCTCAGTTTCACTCTAGGTTCCTGTATCACCACTTCTCCCACCGCTCTGTCATCTACCATGAAGTGACATAGTCACAGGCCCTTTGTCAGAGCTAGTGCTGTGCAATTTGGAATTTCAGCCTTCAAACTATTAGCTAAATAAATTATTTTTAATACATTACCTAGCCTTGGGTATTTGGTTACAGCAATGGAAGATGGACTGATAATACTGTATTTTTTATAAGCACTATTTTAGTGGCATGCTGCAAATTTTGGTATATTGGGTTTTCACTTTCATTCATTCAAAATAATTTTAATTTTCTTTTTGATTTTTTTTCTTTGACTCTTGACTTATTGACTTGCCTATTTTTTAAAATCTTTGGGAGATTTCCCAGAGATCATAATCATATTGGTCTCTAATTTAATTCCACATTTGCCAGAGAATATACTTTCTTTTATTTAAATCCATTTAATTTTATTGAGAGCTATTTTATGACCTAACTTAGTAGGTATACTTGGAAAGAAGATATAGTTGGCTGCTGTGGAGTGCTTACAAATATCAGTTTGGTCAAGTGCACCAACTGTGTTGCTTGAGTCTTCTGAGTGCTTACTAATTTCCTGTTCTATTAATTGTTGAGAGCAAAGTGTTGAAATCTCAACATATAATTGTGGGTTTCTTTTTTTTTGTTTTGTTTTGTTTTAATTGTGGGTTTCCTTGTTCCTTTTTCTCCTTCCATTTCTGCTAGGTTTGTTTTGCTTTGTGTTTTTAAGTTCCGTGGATATATACATTAATATTTGCGATTGTTATTTCCTCCTGATAAATTGGTTTCATTATTATTTTGTAACAACCTTCATTACTGTTGGTAATATCTTTTGCTTTGATACCTATTTTGATAGTAATATAGCTCCTTCAGCTGTAATTTGATTAGCATTAGCATGGCATGCATTTTTCCATACCTTTAATTTTTAACCAAATATTGTCTATATTCCAGACGTGATAATGTCTTAACACAAGTATTAAGGTATGTCTTTTAGGAAGCATAAAATTGGATTTTTTTTTTTTTTGCAGTGCTGAGGATTGAACCCAGGGCCTTCACATTGATCTACATCCCCACCCCCTTTTTATATTTTTTAAATTTAAGATAGAATTTCACTAAGTTGCTCAGGTTGGATTGGTACTTGTGATTCTCCTGTTTCTGCCTCCTACAGCACTAGAATGGCAGGTGTGTACCACTATGCCTGGCTTCATTTATTAATTTAGTTTGAAATGAGGTTTGCTATATTGCCCTTGGTGGTTCTGGACCCATGTAGTTGGGTTTCATTGAACAATCAAACCTGAAAATCTTAAACATTTAACTGAAGGGTTTATCCTATTCTTATTGTAGATCTTATTGGTTTAGTTAGGTTTAAATCTATTATCTTATGTTTTATTCATCTCATCTGCTTTTTGTTCTTCATTTTTACTGCATTCTTTTGATTTGCTGGATGCATTAAATCATTTTATTTCATCTACCTTTTGAGTATTGAGCTATAATTCTTTATTTTGCTGTTTTAGTGGTTGCTATAGGGTTCACAGTATGTATCTTTAAATTATGACAGCTTGCCTTTTAGTGATTTTATATTTGATATGTAATAAAAAATCTACACTAATATATTCCCATTTTCCTCCTCCTAATCACTGTGGCATTGTTTTTAGACATTTTCATGCTTTGACCCCATACTATTTTTTCTTTTGTTAATTATGAAAATCACTTATGTAGCTCTGTCTTATAGTACAATTATTATTTCTAGATCAAAGCACATAATTGACCCCCAGTTAATTACCTGTTAAAGGTATTTAAGTAATATGAAAAAGAATTTCATATTTACCCATATGGGTACCATTTTTGGTGCCCTGAATTTCCTACTATGGATCCATACTTCTGTTATCATTTTCCCTGTCTAAAGAAATGCCCCTTAATATTTCTTACAGAGCAGGTCTGCTGGACATAAATTCTTTCAACTTTTGTATGACTGAAAAGCTTTGAAAGGATATTTTCTGTAGGTATAGAATTCTACCTTCACGTACATTTCAGTACCTTAGAGGTGCTGCTCCATTGCTTTTGAGAAGAAATGTCAAAGGGGGTCCTGGTGCTTCCTTCACAGTTACATGGAAAAATAATCAGTACAAAATAATTTATGTGCAAAAAATTCAGCATTCTACCAAACAGTCAACAGAAACCTTTTAAACATCTGGAGTGCTGTCTGCAGGAAAGTCTCTTTTCTCCCGTTCCCTATTTTTCAAACTCTAGCTGGCGTGGTCTCTTAGTGATGTATCTGCCAGCCTCCATCCCATCCCTTCAACTCAGGGAGTCTGATGGGATCCTCCTGAGTCTCCTTCCTTGTGTAACAGCCTGGAAACTTTCTTCAGGCCATAACTGGGATGTTATGACCCTGGTTCCTCTCACCCCATCTCTTAGGAGTCACACTCCTTTGTCTGAGATCCAGTGTCTTGAAAAACACTGCTTCCCATCTCTTATCTTTTTGTTTAATTGTTTCAGGCAGGAGGGTATATAGTCCCTGTTATTCCTTCTTGGCCAGAAAGAGAACTAAAATCACCTTTTTACAAACTCACTCTTTCTTTCTTTCTT